ACGTTTTAGGTTTTACGGTTTTAACTTAAATTTACAGTTGAATACAGCTGAAAAACATTAACTGATATAATGTTAATATACCAACCTATTGAAGTACTGAAATCTGTTTTGTACCTTTGTAATACACTGATAACCACCAAATGCAGGAGGTGATGAGAAAGTCATATGATGAACCAAAGCCCATCACAAGCAGCTTTTAAATAATGAAATGTAACGCAGGGAATTCTGGGAATGTCAAATTACGGTTATTCACTGTAAATTATACAAGTCTTTTTCACTTCCAAAAATGGTATACTACTGTAAAATTAATGTCCAATACATGTAATGTCCAATACAGTTTTTCACCGTGTATACAGTAGGGGAATTTACCGTTAACCATTTAACAGGTTTTTACTGTAGCATTTTTACAGTCTTTTACCGTTAAATTCACGGTCATTTTTTACAGTGTAGGCCCCTCGACCCCAGAAAACCTAAGTTCCTAACAATTATTTGTCAAACTTCGTTTTTTGTCATGTTAATAATATGCCAGTTAACATTTCACAACACTGTTCTGCGTAAAATGTGAATATAAGCGAATATGCAAATTCACTCTTTGCCACAAGGTGGCACTTGTGGAACAGCAGAATTATATAGCCGTTACATAAAGTAAACACTACGTTATTACGGGCATTATACAGAGGCAATATGAAAGGAAAATGCCATCAAAACTTGTCTGGCTGAAATGTGAGTTTACAGGTATGAGTTAAACAGCATAAATCACACAAAATATTAATTATTCATCATCAGTAGAGCAAAACGCACAAGTTGACATAAATGTGGGTTATTTGGTGATTGCTAACTTTTTATTTTGAAACATGACGTGCTCACGTTTAATTCGTTAAATCACAGCCGTATAAAGTTTAATGATTACATTTAAGCAATATGGCAATTCCTATTTTTCCATCGCCAGATTTAAAATTGAGACTTTGAAGCAGCACTATTTATGGAACACAGATGACACACAGATTACATCCAAGCAAGTTACTGAACTCTCGCTGTATGATGTTACAGAACGTTGTCCGCAGTGTTGTGTTTCTGTTAATCTGCGTGTTGACAAAAATACTCTCGTGCTGCGGTTAATTACTAGAGAATGCATTGTACGTTCCGCTTGCAGTATATTGATGGAACACGTGGAACATACCAACTATACAAACTGTGTGGGGGGAACCTTAACTGAGCCATTCACTATATAGGCTACTACAACCAGGGCATCACTAAAAATGAGTGTGTGAGTTTGCTGTTGTCACTGCTGCAAACACCCATATAATTAATTATTAAAAAATATAATTTCCCTGCAGCCAGTGGGCACCCTTTCCAGTGTAGGCCCCTGGGCTTCAGCCCCTTGAAGCCCGTGCATTAATGTGCCCCTGGCTATAAGTCTGTTATTACAATTATTCACTTGTAAACTAAAAATAATCAATACTGTAGATGAAAAACAGATTCACTTGAGCTTATTTGAGTTTTAAGTTCTAGGGAGAATTATTGAGAAAATTGATCAGAGAAAGACCTAAGGATGAATTTATTTACAAATAAAAATTCAAATCTAATTCATTTTCATTGTAATTGTAAAGTCTTTCCAAGTACTCACTGGAGTATACATATCCTTGGTTGGGAATCACTGGTATAAATTGATATCTGATCTTTTTAATGTAACTGTAAACATAAGTCAGTACTTCAAGCCTATATGTGAATAAAAACCACAGATGAGATCTCTTTGATTTCATTTGCTTCTGAAATGGCCAAGAAAGATCAAATGGATCTCCTCTTTTGCTCACATGTGTTTCCTGTAGTGCCAGAAGAGATCTGAACAATATCTCAAACCATGCTCAGATTTGCCAAGTACTGCCAAATAATTTCTCATCAAATGATCATCCAAGCCGATTCTATACAAATGTTGTGTGGTGTTTGGTTGTTTACAGATAAGAAGTTCATCATAGCCAATGCCCGGGTCCAGAACTGTGCTATTATTTACTGTAACGATGGATTCTGTGAGATGACGGGATTCTCACGGCCGGATGTCATGCAGAAACCTTGTACATGCGACTTCCTGCATGGCGAGCAAACCAAGAGACATGCGATTGCGCAGGTGGCCCAGGCTCTCCTGGGGTCAGAGGAACGGAAAGTGGAGATTACGTACCATCGCAAGGACGGTGAGTCCAACCCCATCCTTTGCTGTTGGGTCAATGGTTTTGATCTGTGTAGAAAAAGAGAGAAAGATCAATGGAGAGAATGGCTCTGTTCCAAAACCAAGCATCCTTGCTTACATACAGTGGGCAGCTGCCTTCTAAGGGGTTGTTCACTCAGGGCGTGTGTTTGCATTACAAACAGCTTGATGGAAACTCCATCTGTGCAAGTGCTGTGAGTCGCTTATAACATGCATTTGAAAAAGTTCAATAATGAGAAACTGTAACTTTTTATATGGTTTAGAAAGCTATTGTCAAAAAAGAGAAGCATTTCAAAAAAGAAGTTTCCGTGCAGTTTTCCATCAAAATAAAAGCTCTAGGGTTTAAAGTTTAAAAGCAAAAAAAAACAAAAAAACAACTGTGGTTACATGATAATAATAAAATAATATTTATATATTCCGTCACGCCGGATCTGTTTCCTACGTTGTTGTGATTTGATCTGAACGAAAACAGCTGTTTACGTCCAGCGGATATTCTCCAAAATGGCGCTACAGGATGATGCGGAGGAGACGAATTGTTGAATAAAGTCGTTTTTTTTTTTTTTGCGCACAAAAAGTATTCTCGTAGCTTCGTATAATTGCGGATGAACCACTGATGTCACATGGATTATTTTACCGATCTCCTTGCTACGTCTCTGGACTTGCGAACATTTCAGTTGCATTGCTGTCTATGCAGGGTCAGACAGCTCTCAGATTCCATCAAAAACATCTTAATTTGTGTTTCCGAAGATGAAGGAAGGTCTTACGGGTTTGAAACGACATGAGGGTGAGTAATTAATGACAGAATTTTCATTTTTGGGTGAACTATCCCTTTAAGTGCACCTATGACGAGATTACTTAAAATACTGTCTAGGCAGCTCACTAGGTTTGGAACAGAACAAGAAATGTGAGTAGTGTGTCTCTTTTTCACACGCCCTGTCTCTCTTTTGTTTCATGTCGGCTACAATATCGTAAGCATCTCATTTGGTGGGGAGTAAAACTGATTTCAGCTGAAGTGTGCAGTGAAGCAGACTCACTAATGTAATGTGGGCATCCTTACACCCATGTAGAGCTACTCAGTCAAATTCAGCCCTCAGCCTGTCCAATCCCTTCAAACACACAGGATTAAAGAAAATCACACACTAGCGTCTGCTGATAGAGCTCAGATCGGCCTCTGCTAGCAGTGTTTGAACAGCGACACAGGAAGATGCTTTACCGATGAGCCAGAAACCCAGTGTGCATTAGATGAGCCATGAGGTCTCCCTGTCCCTCTGTGTTACAAATTATGATATTTACTTACATTAGATATTCAGACATAAAATAGCTCCCTTTTTATTGGGGGAATTAAAATTACTGATTTAAATTTTTTTCTGAAACACTGAATTTTTTTTTTTAATGGAATGTTATGGAATATTTTATATATATTAAATATTATGACATAAAATAGCTCCAAATACATTAAAAATTTATTTTTTTTGTTTATCTGGAGGGAATAAAATGTTTTTTATCTCACAATGGAAAATTGCCAGAATATGTATATATATTTTTGAAAAATCATAAATTTTCAAAAAGTATAATAAAAAACTATCATTTGGAATCTTATGGAATATTTTATTTCTATTAAATATTCTGACATAAAATAGCTCCAAATGTGCATATATATATATATATATATATATATATACAGTGGGGCAAAA